CCTGCGTTATATATAGTCAACGCGTTGAACCAAATAATTTGATGAGCGATATACACGATCTACCCGCGTTACCTACAACAACAGCAATATATGAGCATTACTGCCTAACGAACAGCATGGCGATATACGACAACGCATATACCGAAATAACTCGCTACAATGTACCAACGCAGTGGACACGGCTCGACCGAACATCACATACACACACGGCTCTACCGAACACAAACACGGCTCCACCGAACATAATCTACTCGTAACTGAAACTGGGTGTTAATGTAATATATTTATTGAGTCACTATTGTTAAAATATGTTAGTAATGTGGGCTACATATTCCATTAGTTTTGGCCCGAATTACAGTTGATTACTATGCTGTATTTGTAAGAAATATGGCCAGAATCTACGTAAAATAAGGAATCTGTAATCAAATTGATTAATGATAAAAATATAAAATAAATATTTTATTATATTTTCACATTTTTGGATTAATTATATTCTTACAAACGTCTTAGACCAAATATATGCGTACGCGATTGTATATAGTTGAAATATATTTAGATATAATATATTGAATTATATTAATATATATATATATTATATATATATATATATATATATATATATATATATATATATATATATATATATATATATATATATATATATATATATATATATATATATATATATTATATTAATAGATTTGGAATTATATTAAAATATTGAATTTTATGAAGATATTAAATTATATTAATAGAAATTGAATTATAATAATAGATAGAATTATATAGCAATATATTGAATTATTAAATAGAAATTCTCATTGACTAGTGAAGCTTCCATAGCGTGCTCCCTTTTTGTTCACACTCTTGCAACAATGTTTTGCATTAAACTGAGCCCAGATATGATTGATATACAGGTCAGGGTCTGGCGTCCGAACCTTGTGGTTAATTAGCACAGAGAGAGAGAGAGAGAGAGAGAGATAGGCAAAATACAAGCTCATAGTATTACAATTATTGTCCGGTTTGCACATCGCGTATTCGACGCGAAATACATCATGGTGGTTTTTGTTTCCTAATCTGATGATTTCCCATACCGCGAACTTTCATAAATTATGATAACGGGTTAGCAAACTTATTTCTTAATTAAGGGGTTTATTACTAACGCTGCAGGACATGTGTGTGATAAGTTTAGATGTGATCTTACATAGGGTCCTATTGGCATTCTTAAGGTTCGGCGGGCATGTATTGTTACAGAAATACAACGCAGCTGTCGAATGTTATAAGAGAGGAAGGTGGCGTCACACAGCCTCTCACTACACAGGAGCACAGAGGACCCCTCCTCCACAGGAGCACAGAAGACCCTCCTCCACAGGAGCACAGAGGACCCTCCTCCACAGGAGCACAGAGGACCCCTCCTCCACAGGAGCACAGAGGACCCCTCCTCCACAGGAGCACAGAGGACCCCTCCTCCACAGGAGCACAGAGGACCCTCCTCCACAGGAGCACAGAGGACCCTCCTCCACAGGAGCACAGAGGACCCTCCTCCACAGGAGCACAGAGGACCCTCCTCCACAGGAGCACAGAGGACCCCTCCTCCACAGGAGCACAGAGGACCCCTCCTCCACAGGAGCACAGAGGACCCTCCTCCACAGGAGCACAGAGGACCCCCCCTCCACAGGAGCACAGAGGACCCCCCCTCCACAGGAGCACAGAGGACCCCCCCTCCACAGGAGCACAGAGGACCCCCCTCCACAGGAGCACAGAGGACCCCCCCTCCACAGGAGCACAGAGGACCCCCCCTCCACAGGAGCACAGAGGACCCCCCCTCCACAGGAGCACAGAGGACCCCCCCTCCACAGGAGCACAGAGGACCCCCTCCACAGGAGCACAGAGGACCCCCCCTCCACAGGAGCACAGAGGACCCCCCCCCCTCCACAGGAGCACAGAGGACCCCCCTCCACAGGAGCACAGAGGACCCCCCCTCCACAGGAGCACAGAGGACCCCCCCTCCACAGGAGCACAGAGGACCCCCCCTCCACAGGAGCACAGAGGACCCCCCCCTCCACAGGAGCACAGAGGACCCCCCACCTCCACAGGAGCACAGAGGACCCCCCCCCTCCACAGGAGCACAGAGGACCCCCCCCTCCACAGGAGCACAGAGGACCCCCCCCTCCACAGGAGCACAGAGGACCCCCCCCTCCACAGGAGCACAGAGGACCCCCCCCCTCCACAGGAGCACAGAGGACCCCCCCCCTCCACAGGAGCACAGAGGACCCCCCCTCCACAGGAGCACAGAGGACCCCCCCTCCACAGGAGCACAGAGGACCCCCCCCTCCACAGGAGCACAGAGGACCCCCCCCTCCACAGGAGCACAGAGGACCCCCCCCTCCACAGGAGCACAGAGGACCCCCCTCCACAGGAGCACAGAGGACCCCCCTCCACAGGAGCACAGAGGACCCCTCTCCACAGGAGCACAGAGGACCCCCCTCCACAGGAGCACAGAGGACCCTCCTCCACAGGAGCACAGAGGACCCTCCTCCACAGGAGCACAGAGGACCCTCCTCCACAGGAGCACAGAGGACCCCCCCCCTCCACCGGAGCACAGAGGACCCCCCTCCACAGGAGCACAGAGGATCCCCCCTCCACAGGAGCACAGAGGACCCCCCTCCACAGGAGCACAGAGGACCCTCCTCCACAGGAGCACAGAGGACCCTCCTCCACAGGAGCACAGAGGACCCTCCTCCACAGGAGCACAGAGGACCCTCCTCCACAGGAGCACAGAGGACCCTCCTCCACAGGAGCACAGAGGACCCTCCTCCACAGGAGCACACAGGACCCTCCTCCACAGGAGCACACAGGAGCACACAGCACCCTCCTCCACAGGAGCACACAGCACCCTCCTCCACAGGAGCACAGAGGACCCTCCTCCACAGGAGCACAGAGGACCCTCCTCCACAGGAGCACACAGCACCCTCCTCCACAGGAGCACACAGCACCCTCCTCCACAGGAGCACACAGGACCCTCCTCCACAGGAGCACACAGGACCCTCCTCCACAGGAGCACAGAGAACCCTCCTCCACAGGAGCACACAGGACCCCCCTCCACAGGAGCACAGAGGACCCTCCTCCACAGGAGCACAGAGGACCCTCCTCCACAGGAGCACAGAGGACCCTCCTCCACAGGAGCACACAGCACCCTCCTCCACAGGAGCACACAGGACCCTCCTCCACAGCACACAGGACCCTCCTCCACAGGAGCACACAGGACCCTCCTCCACAGGAGCACAGAGGACCCTCCTCCACAGGAGCACACAGCACCCTCCTCCACAGCACACAGGACCCTCCTCCACAGCACACAGGACCCTCCTCCACAGGAGCACACAGGACCACCCTCCACAGGAGCACACAGGACCCTCCTCCACAGCACACAGGACCCTCCTCCACAGGAGCACACAGGACCCTCCTCCACAGGAGCACAGAGGATCCCCCTCCACAGGAGCACAGAGGATCCCCCTCCACAGGAGCACACAGGACCCTCCTCCACAGGAGCACAGAGGACCCTCCTCCACAGGAGCACAGAGGACCCTCCTCCACAGGAGCACAGAGGACCCTCCTCCACAGGAGCACAGAGGACCCTCCTCCACAGGAGCACAGAGGACCCTCCTCCACAGGAGCACAGAGGACCCTCCTCCACAGGAGCACAGAGGACCCTCCTCCACAGGAGCACAGAGGACCCTCCTCCACAGGAGCACACAGGACCCTCCTCCACAGCACACAGGACCCTCCTCCACAGGAGCACACAGGACCCTCCTCCACAGGAGCACAGAGGATCCCCCTCCACAGGAGCACAGAGGATCCCCTCCACAGGAGCACACAGGACCCTCCTCCACAGGAGCACAGAGGATCCCCCTCCACAGGAGCACAGAGGATCCCCCTCCACAGGAGCACAGAGGACCACCCTCCTGCAGCGTTTCCCGCAAGGTACGCCGACCTCCCTGCCATGCCTATAATCCACCCGACGCCGAACCTACACATCAGAATACCTTCCTATTGGTGTTTAATGCTATAAAGCTACAGAGAGAGAGAGGAGAGAGGTGCGAGAGGTGAGAGCGGGTGTCGGAGGCGGGAGGGAAGGCTTGCCGCCGCCGCCACCGACCGAAATAACATAGAGAGAGAGAGAGAGGTAGAGGTGCCCACCTGGCCTGCGCCTCGTCCAGCGACTGGTCCGTGATGTTCATGATCTGCTCCAAGATGGTGTTAATGTCCTGTTTACGGCCCTCACTGTCCGGCGTGGTGGTCCCCTGGCCGGGGTCCACCGAGCCTCCGCCCATGCCATAGTGCTGGGGCATGAGCATGCCCGTTTGCGACGTGGGGTGCATCATGCCCCGCGACTGGTCATCCATGCTGGCCGCCACAAACACTTTACACCACCACACAAACACACACGCACTCTTAAGAAGCAGCAGGTACAGCCGTAGCGGCCCGTATACCAGGGGGGGGAGAGAGAGAGGGGGTTTTGGCGCCCCACGAGAAGCAGCAGCACCAAAAATGAGGGGGGGGGGAAGGGGGAAAATGTTTTTTTTTTTTTTTGGAGGGGGGGAGCGCGAGTGGAGGAGGAGCGAGACGGAGCGGCACACACACACACACCACCGTCACAGCCAAGAGGCCAGCAGCGACTGACGGGCCTGCTGCTGCTGCTGCTGCTGCTGGTGGCTGCTGCTGCTGCTGCTGCTGCTGCCGCGCACCACCACCACCACCACCACCACCACCCACACCACCACACCGTCCTCACCACTAACACATCCCCCGACACTTCCCACCACACCAGCTACCACACGCGATTATTCAGATTTTTATGGCTGTTTGCTCCGCGACAAGAAATCACGCGTGGACTCGACTGAATACCACAAAACAGCACCTTTTGCGAGCGAGTATGCCATTAACAGAGAGAAAACGCTCCGGCCGCCAATCACCGCCGCCCTCTCACTCGCATAAAACCATAACCTGACGAGCCAAGCCAACCTTGCCACCCGCCACGATCAATAAGAGAATGGGATGCCGACACAAAAGGGCCCATATTCTCGCCCAAGGGTATTTGAATTACTCAGTGGCATTTTTAATTACGTCAGGTTGATAAAAGGGGGGATTTAGTAAAGGCAAATTCACCAAATTCACGAGGGAGCTAAGAAAATGGCTTTGTTTACATCGCGGGTCTTTGTGTGTCGGAGTCTGCGCGGGAGATCCTAGTTTATATCAAGTTGCTAACTTTCAACTTGACAACCACAAGGCAGTCACACCGACCGACAATAACGAATTCGTGTCATATGCGAGCGCTATATTAACCTAGGTGATTGTCTGCACGCACTTTAATACAGGAATAAGGCTTGCGCTGGAGTTCCTTCTAGCATCCGAACACCAGGATTAGGCGGCTCAGGATGATTTACGTCACTCCTGAACGAGTCTTACTGCTGCCAGAGGTACGTTTTGTACCATAACATCTCATGCCCAGTACTAGAAAACAATCTTTAACCTTTCTCTAAAACTTTGATGATTAAAATGCATAAATGCATTCTCATCTTATTGACAATAACTACTGCTTTGAAGTGCCAGGCTTTATGCCTTGTAAATAATTAAAAGATGTGGTGTAGCGCCTTGGCCAGACAGTAGGAGGAGCCACAGCCCCATAAATCAACCTAAGTTACTGTGGTCGCCTAAGTTAGTTTCTGGTGTATGCCAAGCCGGGTAACGCGCTCCAATGGCCTGCCAAACACAACATTCATATTTATCTATTTTTTTTCTTACGTGTAACGACGAATCTTTTTTTATTTTGTGTGTGCAATCAGTTTTTTTTTATATTTTGATTTAAATTCAATTTTAAAAGCTGATTATATATGTGCCTCTATGAAAGGATATTGGGAATCAAATTGTCTATGCATATTTCTTGCCCCCCAAATGTTATATAGGTTATTATAATATATAAAGACAAGATCACATCTCACAGTGACACGCGGTGTGATTGGGTATTGCAAGAAAAAAAATAATAGCCCTTGAAGAGAGGTAATTTTTAATATATAAAAATGTCCTAAATTAACCCATTTTGCTTGGCTTGGAGTCTGGGTAAGAGAGCAATGGCCATACGCGACAACCTTTTGCCTTTGCTGAGGTGATAGTTGCCGGGTACTCATCGCCACGTATTCATATGATGATGAATCGCCAGAGGAGGAAGAGAGGATGTCCGCGTCGGCTGAACAAGCCCAGACGGGGAGATATTTGTGTTAGTGATTTGTGCCTGATGATTTGTGTTAGGTATATGTGTGTGGTGAGGGGGGATTTTGGGTGGATCAGGCTGTGTGTTGAAGCTGTTGTGTTTGTGGATTACTGGTGTGTTGTGGGGTGTGGTGTGGGGTGTGGTGTAGGTGTTGAGTGTGGTGTAGGTGTAGTGTGTGTGTTGTGTTGGTGTAGTGTGTGGTGTAGGTGTTGAGTGTGGTGTAGGTGTAGTGTGTGTGTTGTGGGGTGTGTTGGGGTGTGGTGTAGGTGTTGAGTGTGTGTTGTGGGGTGTGTTGTGGGGTGTGTTGTGGGGTGTGGTGTAGGTGTTGAGTGTGTGTTGTGGGGTGTGGTGTAGGTGTTGAGTGTGGTGTAGGTGTTGAGTGTGTGTTGTGGGGTGTGTTGTAGGTGTAGTGTGTGTGTTGTGGGGTGTGTTGTGGGGTGTGGTGTAGGTGTTGTGTGTTGTAGGTGTAGTGTGTGTGTTGTGGGGTGTGTGGGGTGTGGTGTAGGTGTTGAGTGTGTTGTAGGTGTAGTGTGTGTGTTGTGGGGTGTGTTGGGGTGTGGTGTAGGTGTTGAGTGTGGTGTAGGTGTAGTGTGTGTGTTGTGGGGTGTGGTGTAGGTGTTGTGTGTTGTAGGTGTAGTGTGTGTGTTGTGGGGTGTGTTGGGGTGTGGTGTAGGTGTTGAGTGTGTTGTAGGTGTAGTGTGTGTGTTGTGGGGTGTGTTGGGGTGTGGTGTAGGTGTTGAGTGTGGTGTAGGTGTAGTGTGTGTGTTGTGGGGTGTGGTGTAGGTGTTGAGTGTGGTGTAGGTGTAGTGTGTGTGTTGTGGGGTGTGGTGTAGGTGTTGAGTGTGGTGTAGGTGTAGTGTGTGTGTTGTTGAGTGTGTGGTGTTGTCGAGTGTGGTGTAGGTGTAGTGTGTGTGTTGTGGGGTGTAGGTGTAGTGTGTGTGTTGTGGGGTGTGGTGTAGGTGTGTGTGTGGTGTTGAGTGTGGTGTAGGTGTAGTGTGTGTTGTTGAGTGTGGTGTAGGTGTAGTGTGTGTGTTGTGGGGTGTGGTGTAGGTGTTGAGTGTGGTGTAGGTGTAGTGTGTGGTGTTGAGTGTGGTGTAGGTGTAGTGTGTGGTGTTGAGTGTGGTGTAGGTGTAGTGTATGTGGTGTTGAGTGTGGTGTAGGTGTAGTGTGTGTGGTGTTGAGTGTGGTGTAGGTGTAGTGTGTGGTGTTGAGTGTGGTGTAGGTGTAGTGTGTGGTGTTGAGTGTGGTGTAGGTGTAGTGTGTGGTGTAGGTGTAGTGTGTGTGGTGTTGAGTGTGGTGTAGGTGTAGTGTGTGGTGTTGAGTGTGGTGTAGGTGTAGTGTGTGTGGTGTTGAGTGTGGTGTAGGTGTAGTGTGTGGTGTTGAGTGTGGTGTAGGTGTAGTGTGTGGTGTTGAGTGTGGTGTAGGTGTAGTGTGTTGTGGGGTGTGGTGTAGGTGTTGAGTGTGGTGTAGGTGTAGTGTGTGGTGTAGAGTGTGGAGTAGGTGTAGTGTGTGGTGTTGAGTGTGGTGTAGGTGTAGTGTGTGGTGTGTGAGTGTGGTGTAGGTGTAGTGTGTGTGGTGTTGAGTGTGGTGTAGGTGTAGTGTGTGGTGTTGAGTGTGGTGTAGGTGTAGTGTGTGTGGTGTAGGTGTAGTGTGTGTGGTGTTGAGTGTGGTGTAGGTGTAGTGTGTGGTGTTGAGTGTGGTGTAGGTGTAGTGTGTGTGGTGTTGAGTGTGGTGTAGGTGTAGTGTGTGGTGTTGAGTGTGGTGTAGGTGTAGTGTGTGTTGTTGAGTGTGGTGTAGGTGTAGTGTGTGTTGTTGAGTGTGGTGTTGAGTGTGGTGTAGGTGTAGTGGTGTGTTGTTGAGTGTGGTGTAGGTGTTGAGTATGGTGTAGGTGTAGTGGTGTGTTGTTGAGTGTGGTGTAGGTGTAGTGTGTGGTGTTGAGTGTGGTGTAGGTGTAGTGTGTGGTGTTGAGTGTGGTGTAGGTGTTGAGTGTGGTGTAGGTGTAGTGTGTGGTGTTGAGTGTGGTGTTGAGTGTGGTGTAGGTGTAGTGGTGTGTTGTTGAGTGTGGTGTAGGTGTAGTGTGTGGTGTAGGTGTAGTGTGTGGTGTTGAGTGTGGTGTAGGTGTAGTGTGTGGTGTTGAGTGTGGTGTAGGTGTAGTGTGTGGTGTCGAGTGTGGTGTAGGTGTAGTGTGTGGTGTTGAGTGTGGTGTAGGTGTAGTGTGTGGTGTTGAGTGTGGTGTAGGTGTATGTTACGGCCCTCTCGGGTCGCAACTGGGTTCTTACTCTGATGTTGTTAGATGAAGGGTATCCTGCCCCAAGCCAGTAGTGGCTTTCAAGGGATGTGATCCGTAACGCAAGTAAATTAAAAGGGGAAGGGAAAGAAAGGCAAAAACTTAATATTATAATTAACACCTTCCCCAATAAATATATATAAGAAGATTACACGGGGGGGGGGGTATAAACACTATAATACACGGTTGTCTTCTTCTGAAGACTCTGGATCTTCTCGGTGCTCTCGTGGCCTCACGACGAATCCTTCGAGAAGCTGAGTCTACCCCGGCCACAGGCCAGCCAAAACACAGTTCCACTGGGGGCACCGCCGTGGAGGCCGTCAACCACAAGTCCAGCAGATAGCTGGCAGGTTCCGAATCAGCAACGCTGGTTAGGCCACTCCACGAGCGATACTAGGGTAGCGCCCTAGTCAGGAGCCTCGTGTGATACCACAGATCACTCTCCTTTCCACAATACCCCAGTGGTTAAGCGTCTCCACCAGTCAGTCCCGGGTATGACAATCCTTCCACTGCCGCTTCACAGGCAGGGTAACACCACAGTGTTCATTCGGGAGGCGACTCACAGCTGCTGCAGCAAACACTTGGTGTCGAGACGGCTGCCTTGGGTAGACTGACTCAACTTCCATCACAGCAGTCCCAGGTCGACTCTGTAATCAGACACGTCATCAGTAACAGGGACACACAAAAGCACCTCACTTACAGGCTCAGACCCAAACGCCCACCTATCCACTCCATAGATGGCGTTGTCGTCTGAGCACCACCTCACCAGAGGTCAGCAGCGGCTGTGTTGTGAGCTGAACAGGACTGGAAACTGGCCCTCGTGGCCAGTACCCCTTGTCCTCACCAGGTGTCGTCGTCCATTTGGAGGGGGTTTCGGGAGCTGACCTACAGATGGCGCGGTCGTCACTGCTCGGACGCTGGATTCGGGTCCGTAACAGTGTAGTGATGTGGTGTTGAGTGTGGTGTAGGTGTAGTGTGTGTGGTGTTGAGTGTGGTGTAGGTGTAGTGTGTGTGGTGTTGAGTGTGGTGTAGGTGTAGTGATGTGGTGTTGAGTGTGGTGTAGGTGTAGTGTGTGGTGTTGAGTGTGGTGGAGGTGTAGTGTGTGGTGTAGGTGTAGTGTGTGGTGTTGAGTGTGGTGTAGGTGTGTGTGTGGTGTTGAGTGTGGTGTAGGTGTAGTGTGTGGTGTTGAGTGTGGTGGAGGTGTAGTGTGTGGTGTAGGTGTAGTGTGTGGTGTTGAGTGTGGTGTAGGTGTAGTGTGTGGTGTTGAGTGTGGTGTAGGTGTAGTGTGTGGTGTTGAGTGTGGTGTAGTGTGGGGTGTTGTTGAGTGTGGTGTAGGTGTAGTGTGTGTTGTTGAGTGTGGTGTAGGTGTAGTGTGTGGTGTTGAGTGTGGTGTAGGTGTAGTGTGTGTTGTTGAGTGTGGTGTAGGTGTAATGTGTGTTGTTGAG